GCACATATGTTTATAATATAATATATATATATATATATATATGCAAATATGTTTATAATATAATATATATATATATATATATATATCGAGCCTCAGACTTAGTGGAAGCAGGCGAGAGCCTCAGCCTTAGTGGTCGCAGTCGAGAGTCGCAGTCATAGTGGTCGCAAGATCCGGTCGCAGTCTTAGCAAATCTCAAGAAATTCAAGGCCCATAAAACTCTCTTATGTAAATATGTAAATATTAGGCAAATATATTTACCGGCGCGGCCGTAGCCTTCTAAAAATCAGACAAAGGACTGAAAAAATATATTTTGCTCTGCTTGTGTACGGGTTTTAGTACAAAGTACATACCGGGGCTAGTTGTTCAATTTCAGAAGGCTATGGGGTATGGGGCTATGGGCTAGTACTTTTTCTAATAAAAAAAGGTCGGTTTTGTAAAAAGCAAAAAACCAGGATCAGCTGCGTATGGAAAAAGTGAAATATACTCTGTAGCTCAGGTTTTGATTGGCATATTATTACAATGGCAGTTTTCGGAATTCGGATTGTTATGAACTATATATTAGTTATTTATCAAAATACAAGTGTATATTTCTATTTTATTTTATATTTGAAGATAAAAAGGCAAAGTATGTACATAAATAAATAGCAGTGGTCAGGTCCAGGACTATATTTTTTAACTAAAAATGTAAAAATATGTAGGTATGTATTTACAGTATGTATTCCAATTTAAATTTAGGAGGCTTATTATTCCTTTTTTGTTTATTTTTTTTGTTTTGTTTAAATAAATAGAGAAATAGTATTCTTGCAACAATAAATAGGCTAATTTTTAAAATTTATATTTCCTTTTAAAAAAACCAAAAACAAGTCAAATAAACCCCCCTCACCAAAACTCGTGTCGTCGATCGTCCAACACTATGTTTATTTATTTATATATTTTGAAAAATATTAAGTCGAATTTTGGAATTCGGAGCTTTATTCTTTCTCTTGTTTTTCTTATTAAATGCAATATTGACCATATAATAACCCCCTAACCGGTTTACCCGTTTTTCTGGGTTTACTCATATTTAAAACAAACGAATCAACAGGTAGAAGAGTAGCACTACCCGATTCCGTAGAAACTTTGCAGTTTGCACGCTTCTTGTGCGCCAAGAGTTTAAGACTCAAGAGTCACAGAAACTCTGAGAGTGCCGCTAAGTTAAATACCGACTGTCGTACGGAGTACAATGTATATAGGTCATATTTACAAAGACTATGATTGTGTACCGACCTTGGCTCATGGTCCTGACCTACTCGGAGCAATTTACAATAGCCATAAAAAATACTATTATATATATGTATAATTATATTCAGATTTGTCCAGTCAGTCCGGTGAGTATCGTATAATACAACCAAATGAGAGTGTTGCAGAGCGCCACTATATCCGCTCTGGCCATGAGCAGGGCCTTAGGCAATGTATACGATTATGATAGCAATCACGTAGGTAGTATACTAAATGGATATGTTACAAAAGATATATCAAACGACAATCGGATGATAGTCGAGGCTGAGCTTCTCGGAGAAGTGTTGTCACTAGAGCTGGAACCGAGGTCAGTATTAGCTCCCGACTTCGAATTGCATATAATATCTGAAGGCATGACGAAGATTAGAAAGCATCGTGAAAACATTGTACAATACACTTACAGTATAAGCTCAGCACAAAATCAGAACCTGAACGGAATGGCGACGTTAAGCGCCGATGGGAGTATTGTTGATGTACTGTTAAATACCAAAAGGCGCCTACTCTCTGGCCGTCGTTCTGGTGATGGTACAATAATTTTTTACGATACAAGTTCGCAAATCGAACTACAAGGTAATTTAAATCGGCAAGTAGGCGAGGATAGGAAACGTGCACGGGCTGAGAGGCGGAATATTAAGTTCGCGCCGGTGACAAAAAGTGCAAATCGAGTCAAAGAACAACTTATAGAGAAACCGGCAGGGCAAGTAGGCGATTTTGGACATCATTTGAATGTATTGCATCGCACTTTGCGTCAAGAAGAGCCTTTGAAGCAAATAGATCTAGTCCTAGACTTTGACTATGATCTTTTCTTTGCCCTCGGTAGCGATGAGGAAGTTTGTCAACAGAAGGCGCTGTCTCTAGTAGCTGCCGTGAACGTTATATATGAGAGTCAGTTGGGGCTAACGCATTCTCTAAAGTCAGTCAATGTTCGCTCGGTACCCAACTATAGCGCATCCGAAAGGCAAAGTCTTTTATTTGAAGTAGAAGATCAATGGCAACCATTGGAACCTTCTCGTGAGTACGGTGCGTTAGTTCTTGTCACAGGGAAGGTTTTTGCAGACGGCGTTTTGAATGCAGAAGCTAACTCTGTTTGTCAAGATCTTTGGAAGTATGGACTGGCTTCGATGATGGACAGTCCCACCGTCGCTTCAGCAATTGATACGCAGGCCTTACGTTTGGCTCATACACTTGGTCATATGTGGGGTGCGGCGAGCCATGTTGCTGAGTCAGGATTCGTTATGTCGACCACTGAAATTGCAGATCAGGCCTCATTTAAAGATACGAGTATTGCTGACATCAATGCGTATATAGCCGAATACGGTCCTCTATGCTTGACTGAAGTACAGCCGGAAGTAGGGCCCTGCTCCGTCAGTCCGTGTCTGAATGATGGTACCTGCCTCGATGACCCGGGCGCTGCCCTAGGGTATCGCTGCGAGTGCGGCGGTGGGTTCGCTGGCGCGAATTGTGATGAAGTCGGAAATAGTTGTTCATCAAAACCTTGCAAGAACGGAGGTGTTTGCACTCCGACAGAGTCTGAGTTCTCGTGTACATGCGCTTTCACGGGGTTCACCGGTCCTACTTGTGAAGTTGATGTTGACGAATGTGCCTCGCAAAACCCGTGCAAGAATGGCGAATGTGTCAATGAAGAAGGCACGTTCTCTTGCACATGCGACGCAGGTTTTTCCGGTAGACTTTGCGACAGTGTTGCTTGTGTAAGTGGCAGGTGCAAGAATGGGGGTACCTGTACACCTTCCACTGTTGCACCATATTACGCCTGTGAATGTGCAAGTGGATTCAGTGGGACGGTGTGCTCTACCAATGTAAACGACTGTCGAAACCCGGCTTTGAATCTTTGCGATGCGGAGCACAGCACCTGTAAAGACGAAGTGAATGGTGTGTCTTGCATATGTGATGCGGGATATCTGCCACCATATTGCATCGAGTACAGCTGTCCCTGCGTTAATGATGGTGTATGTGTTAAGAGTGGAGAAAACACCGTTTGTAAATGCCCGGCCGGACATTGGGGCCCTAATTGTCAGAATACTCCAAGCGCGTCCAACAAATGTCTTGTTGATGGAGTCAAAGACGCCTGTAATGGAAATGGCAACTGTAAGGAGACAGATAATGAACAAGGGTTCCTATGCGAATGTGTTGAAAATTGGGAGGGTACTACATGTAACAAATCCACCGTGGATTATTGTGCATTAAGACCCTGTCAGTTCGCCGGCACCTGCTTATCGCTAGACACCGGTCATAGATGCTATTGTCTTCCAGGCCGCGGAGGAGACAATTGTGAACTAGATATGAAAGAGTGCGATTCGAATCCCTGTCAGAATGGAGGCGCATGTGTCGAAAAACACAATCGGTATCAGTGTGTTTGTGACCAGGCTAACTGGACTGGTGATGTGTGCGATCAAGCAGTGTAAACTCGGCGCGAGGGAGATATTTAAATTGTCTAGGCTCCAAATTCGTCTCCAGCATCGCTCTGGTATCTAAATCAACTCGTTAACAACATAATCGGATACTATTCGAGGATACCTTCACTTGTGATTTGGTGATGTATGAGATCAAGTGACTTCTCATATGCATCACAGAAGGCTTCTCTAGCTAGAGCACTTAATTTATAGCTATTATTGCTCTGCTTCTGCGGACGTAGTTAACGTCCCGCAGCTTAGTGACGCGGTAAATGAGATATGTCTTTCAGTGCCTTGTAGACGTTTGCTACAAAAAGATAGCTTTACTTTTTCTTGTCCTTTTTTCAAACTCTGTCAGTCAACAGAATACAAATCGATGAAATCATCAAATCGTATCCATGTCCTAGGGACATAGTATTTTGTGCAAGCAAATGTCTATACATAACATACAAAATTTCACACGCACGACAGACACAAAATTATTATTTACATGCAACATAAAGAATATCTAATATTCTATTTTGTAAATCTACAGCTAGGCAGGTTGGCCGATATCGTGACGCTGTCAGTCGCTCATTGTGTTGCATATATATTTTATGTATTTATTTATTTTTATATATTTATATTAATTATATATATTTTATTTATGTCTCTCTATATATATATATATACGTTCGTACATACATATATATATGTATATATGTGTATGTATATATATTTATCTATTTATATACATGTACAAATATATATATCTTTGTGTGTGTGTGTGTGTGTGTAAATATATGTTTATATATATGTATATATATATATAGATGTATTTGTATAGAAGCATATATAAATGAATATATATAAATGTGTGCGCGTGTGTGTGAGAGAGAGTGAGTGTGTGTGTGTGTATTTATATAAAATATACACGTACTTATACATATACATAAATTATAGATATATATATATAAATATTTATATATGTATATATATTTGTATATATATATATAAATATATATGTATGTGTGTGTGTGTGTGTGTGTGAATATATATATATATATGTGTGTGTGTGTGTATGTATGTATATATATAAGTCATATATTTATATATATAGATATATATATATATATATATATAATTATAATTATATACACATATACAATTATAAACACATATACAAACATATACTTATATACATGTGTGTGTGTGTCTGCTTCTGTGTTTGTGTATGTGTGTATGTGTGTGTGTATGTGTGTGTGTGTGTGTATGTGTGTGTGTGTGTGTGTGTGTGTATACGCACACGTAGACACATATACACGTGTGTGTGCCCATACATACACGAGGACACGCACGCACGGGAAAACGCGGGCACGGGCCTGGGCACGGGCAGGGGCACGCGTGTGCAGTTTTCCAGTAGCATACTCCGGTTGATGATGCATCATCGCTCTCGGTATGGCAATTGTATGTCAATCAAGAGACTTTATTAACAGAACCTGAAATCTATTTGTTAGTAGGCAGTGTTCTTTTCTATTTTTTGAAAACTCGTGTTTTTGTGTCCATCGACCTCGGATACCAAAATTTTGCAATATTTACATAACAAATATGCTCAAATATGTTGATATGGGTTTTTTGTATATATTGACGTCTTTTATGAAACACGTCGTATAAATACGTAGAGAATTGGGCGTGAACCTCATGGGGAAGAGAGTTTGCATCATGGGAGCTGGCGCCATCGGCGGCCTATTAGGAGTGAAACTGGCAGTGTCGGGAAACCAGGTAACTTTCGTAGCACGAGGTGCACACTTGAAAGCTATGTCAGAAAATGGATTTACACTAGCGATGGCTGATGGCACGATCCACAACACTAAGGATTTAGACTGTCAGTATACGGACGACCTGAGCACGATACACCAAGAACAAGATGTTATCATAATATGTTTGAAAGGCCATCAGATACAGAACATGCTCACGGATATGAACAACAGCAGGATACTTGGCGAATCAACCATGTTCGTGACGACCCAGAACGGTATACCTTGGTGGCTTTTCCAGTGCTGTCCCGAAGGTTCTGAAATATGCAAGTACGAAAACACTGTGGTGCGTGCAGTAGATCCGGATGGCAGCCTCTTCAATGGCATTGATCCGAAACGCATCATTGGGTGTGTATCGTATCCAGCTGCCCGCGTTTCGAAGCATGGCACCGTCGAGCATTTAGAAAGCATACGGTTTCCAGTAGGTGAACTCAATGGTAGTATAGACTCAGCTCGGATCAAAATGCTGAGTAACTTACTGGTAAGATATCATGATTTACATTCTTATTACATATGTAATGCTATCGAAAAGTAAAACAGAACGTTTTTGTGCTTACGCTGAAGTGCTTACCTCCCTTGTCCAGGTGAGCGAGTCGGATGTTATTACTGAAAATATGGGTGTACACACACGCGCGCACACACACATACACACGCACGCATGCACACTCACTCACTCACACATATATATATATATGTGTGTGATACATTTATATATTTGCATATGCAATTTATATATATACATACATATATATATATGTATGTATGTATATATATATATATATTTATATATATATATATATATATATATATATATATATATATATATATATATATATATATAGTATACATCTATATATTTTTCTGGTAAGAACGCTGTTATATTGTATTCAATGGAATGTGGTCATTCTCACGTCATTTTGAAGCTTTCTTTTATGTACGATTTATGTGTTACGTGAAGTGGCGGTAATTGCAGATCAAAAACATAATTTTCGAGTTCTAACTTTCTGTTGTAAATAGACGTATGTGTCTGACTGTCTATTAGACAGGATAAAGAAGAAAGAGTGGGGGGAAATCTATCCAATTCACTAGATCACTAATTGGTGCTCTAGCACACAGTTGAACAAAAGCAGCTGCTTTAGGTACGTTCTATGTACGTTCTATGCTTTTCCACATTACAGATCGCGGCTGGCTTTAAATCTCCGATTCTTCCAGATATCCGTTCAGAGATTTGGCTTAAACTGTACGGGAGTGTCGCATTCAACCCGATCTCCGCACTTACACACTCAACACTAAAAGAAATGTGTGAATATGCAAGCACCAGACAACTCATTGAGTTGGTGATGGGTGAGATAGAAGAGGTTGGCGGCCGGCTGGGCCTCACTTTAAGGGTCAGCAAGGACAGGCGCATCGGCGGAGCAATCGCAGTTGGAGAGCACAAAACCTCAATGCTTATGGTATTTTTTAAATGTCTGATAAGTTGTGGCTACTCTGCCACCCTTGACAGTACTGTGTAGACATTTACACCTATTTTGTCTTTTTTGTTTTTTTCGAATGCAGTGAGTCAGCGAAATGCTACACGCCATATATAGCTTGTAATTATATGCATCAACTTTTCAGGATGTCGAGAATGGAAAGCCGATGGAAATTGACGGTCTGGTAGGCAGTGTTGTAGAGCTTGCAGAGTTGACAGGTACGTATATACGATTTGATTGTTCAATTTAGAAGACTATGATTTGATACTCTTTTTTTTCCTTTTGATCAGCAAAAGCGTATTGCGCACAATCTTCTTGAATCTGACGTCTGCTAACTATAAATGTATTTCTATTTGTGGGCGGCATACAATAAAATGAAGGGTCAGATATACCGCACACGAGGACGATTTTCTGTCTTGTCAACATGCTTGGTTACATCATTGCCAAGCATAGTGTGGCATTCCCAGAACAGCAGCTTGGGACAGAATAAACGCTGCTTCTAAATAGCGTGTGATATAAAGTAGCTGAACGGTACTGAATTTTCTGATATTTTGAAATAAGTGCTTGGGAGTCGAGAGTGCGTTTTTGCAGTTGCTTTCTCCACAAAATACTGCAATGTTCATCTGATTTATCAAACAAAAAAACCCCCCACCCTCGTCGTCGCTTAAAAATATCGAATTCTCACCTTGAATATGATACCTTCATTCAGAGCGAGTTTTGTCCGACCAGATTAGTGAAACCATCTAATGTGTTTCCAAAGCGTTAGTAAGCCACAGAGATACAAATTGATCAAGATATAAGTTTCTTTATTTGTTTTTATTAATATTTGCCGCTTTTAGTCTTGATCTTCCATCCCAGAATCAGGGACTTGTTTTATATACATAACGTTGTTGCATCTGTAACGAAACAAAATAAAACAAAATAGGTTACAGATAAGGTTTTTAAAGTAGACAATGCGCTGTATGTGCAATTTTGTAGACAAAATATCCAGAAATGCTGTAAGAGCTACTATGTTCTTGGTGCGAAGATGTAAAAACGGAGATGCAAACATCGTAATTTTCAACGCGTATCTAACAAGTTATCATGGGGGAAAATGATGGGCTTAGAATTCTGCACAAGGAAGTCAATCGAATCGCATGTTCATTTAGCGAATATTCTGGGCACATACCTTACTAACACCTCTCCCAGGTTTCCGGCCAAAGTACCGTCAATATATTCCTCTGTATTCGCCAGCTGTAGAAGGGAGAGAGCATCGTCAATGCTTACGTACAGACAGATGATGTACATACAAGCATGTGGTACTTGTTTGAGATCAGTACACATACAATGAACGATCTAAAGCGGTGACTAACAATTCCAAGCAGTTGGATAGCGGCAAAGTTAAATTGAAGTGAGTTACCTGTAGATTCATGTACGCGTCGTGTGAAACAAGGATCCCTTTGTATTCCATTCCCCATTTGAGTTTGACGACAATCGGCTTACCGGTATTTTCCGCCAAAAAAGGCTTAGGGTTGACGATATTGATCTGCAGTAAAGCAACAGGTGTTCGAGAAAGTGTCAAAGACAGGAAACTTTATAGACTCGACACAAATGATTTCGGAATATCCCGACCACAATTAATATTCCAATCCCCCACTCAATCATGCAAGCCGCGAGATGTACACCTCACTTTTGATAAAATTGTCTGTAGACGTAGAGAGAAGACTAACTTCCGACAACGGTTCAAAACCTTGAATCCTTGACCTAATTCTGCTGAAGGATGAATGCTAAAACGAAAGCCTAATCGTCTGTAACGACGGTGCGATATTCAACAGGACAATGTTCCGAGACAGTAAATATCACAAGAACAACCATAATATATATATATATATATATATATATATATATATATATATGTGTGTGTGTGTGTGTGTGTGTGTGTGTGTGTGTGTGTGTGTGTGTAGTAGTAGTA